CCTTCCCTGCCGAAAGCAAGAGCACTCGAGGGGCAATTGCATACAGCAAAGGCAAGGCAACAGTGATAGCAAATCGTGTCTGAGAGAATTTCTCCAGTCGGTTGCGAGGACACACTTGAAAAACATAGTCAAACTGACATGATCATTGAAGACTGTTGACGACTATGAATTTATTGGATGAATGATGGACTCTGGTACAATCCACCGTCCATGAACTCAGTCTGCTTTTGTCTGTATCGGTCCTGCGCCACTCATTGTTCTCTGCGGCCTGCTTTTGGGCCTGAGACGGAAGAAACAACCCGCAATTACCAATGAAGCAACCGAAGCATCAATCATCGAAAGCATCAAGCACAAAACAAGCTGGGAATGACAGCCAAGAAAACCGGCTCTCACCATGGATGATAGAAAAGAGAAGGCGTAGTAACCTAGTAAGGTGTTACGTCCATGCCCTAAGACGAGCCTAGTAGGGTTCTTGATGTGCAAGAGAGGACTGTCTTGACATGTCTTGACTGTTCAACACGTGTTACGTAGAGATTCCGGAAAAACAAAAGCCGTGCCGATTCTTATTTTAAAGTCACACTGTAGTTGCCAAGTTCTGCACAGGAGATTCCAGCAAGGCAGGGTCATCTTCATACCTCACAGCATTGTGCACGAGCAGAAAGCCCAGGAATTTGCAGGAAACTTTTTGTTGTCCAATTCCTTGGGACGGTATTGTTCGGGGACTTGAGGGAACTACTTCAAAGTGTTCACAAACAACCAGGATGCCAAACCACTCAGCAAACACTTGGCTTTGAGAAACTCTTGAACCTGCAGGGTCTACCCGCAAAGAGCGATGGCCTCCAACCCAAGAGCAATGGCCTCCAACCTAAAAGCAATAGCCTCCAACCAGTTTTTGCAATGGTGAGCAAAGCGCTTGTAGCCGCTTGTATGATCACTTTTCTCGGATGCGATCCGATGATGGTCATCTATACTAATGTGTCCTCTCTGCAGCCTGGGCACTGTGCTGCCCAATCTTCCATGGCTAAACCGCAGCACAAATGAGCGGTGGCAGTGGCATGTACTTGATACAAAACTCAAATACACTATCTATATCTATATCTATCTATTATGTGGGGGCCCTATCTCGTTTAGGCTACTTTAATAGGAGGTCATGTCACAGTATCTCGTTCAGACGACTTTTCTGTCACAAAAAAGCATGTCGTTTATGTGGGGGCCATATCTGGTTCACCAGTGAATACTGATGTTGGACAAACAAATAGAGCATACCGTAGACTACTTTATATAATCAAGACCTAAATAAAGGTGGTTGCTCAAAATGTGTCCAGTGTCTCTGACCCAAAGACCATTGCACAACACAACACACGAACGATGATCATCTTGAATACGCACTGATGTTCAGCTGGAGGCTTCGACCTGCTGATCAGGTTTGAAACCTCTGGTTTTGCTTATGTATATAACTTATGTAACTGTTTTGCTCTTATGGGAGAAAACAAATGCATATCTTCTAACTTTGCAGATCTTAAACTGGTAACTGTAGATGTGTACACTAGAAGGCCCTGTCATTTCCAGAGCCAAACCTTTTGAAGGAAAAAACACTAGCTCTGTGAATGAGCCGCAAGAGTCGAATTTCGTTACTTTTAAGTTTTGTTGTGCTGGTCGTTTCTGCAGTGTTCCCTATAGTCTTGCCGTGTATCAACGTTTGACGAACTGAGTTTGGCGCTCTGGAGCGCTGCTAATGGAAAAACAACCAAGCCATATTCATAACGGTTTGTGAATTATATACAGCTGCGATTGGTGGTCGTCACTCTAGAATGGGGGCCACAGTGTCGCAGGAAACCAAGATGTCAATAAATGTTTGATGAAGTGCTCAAAGATGCATGCTGAAAGGTTTTGCTTGGATCTAGCAAGAAGATGGACTCCAGGATTTCATTAAACAAATTAGAAGATTTGGCTTGGATTGGCTGACACGCAATCAACTGAGAACAGTTCATAGAAACCACACCAAACGCCTGATCTTCTGATAGACACCAGAACAGTTGAGCGAGTTGTGATTTTGCCAAACACTTGACTTGACCTGTTTGTATGGGTATATATGGCTCACTCAGTTGGGTTTGCTTGAAGCTGCAACATGTTGTAGAAGTCTCTTGGCCCAGCTACTCACTTCCGTGACAAAATGGATACGCTAAGTCGCAAAGTGGTTTGTGTGATGGGGGTGTTCCGGTTCTATCCGGTTCTTATGTTTATGAATGTTGCCACGTGCTTGGTTGTTGGGTGAAGCGTTGCTGCCCCTAGTAGCACCTTGCTCCTAGTAGCGATGCCAGGAGCCCCTAGTAGCGTCCTTGCTCCTAGTAGCGTTGCTGGGTGGTTGAACAACTACTTTTGCCATGTTGGCATGGATGATGGGCAAGGGCGGCTGTATTTTTGTCAAATCTTGCAAGCCAGTGGCTGCAGGGTGCATTTGCGTTTTGATGTCAGGCTTGCTAAATCATAATTACAAGCTGGCAATGCAATCCTGTTTGTTCCTAAAACTCTTGCAAACTCAAAGCATCTTTACGCTGTGACCGGAACTTGGAACGCGGATTCCAATCTGAGGTGCTGGCATTGGTTTGATCTGCGGCCGTCACTTGCACCTGAGAAGTCTTGAAGCGGATCCCTATGAACAAACAAGCTCCGATGGTTTCTTATGGTTTCAACATGGCCAGTTTCAGCCAACCAACAGCACCGACTTGCATTTCTCGAGCGGTGTAGACGGTGTAAACGGTGTAGACGGTGTAAACGGTGTACCGAAGAATCGTGGACACTGATTGCGCCAGCAAAGCATTTCTCAGTAGTTCGTGTTCCCGCAAGCTTTATATAGACTTCTCACTGCAGGGCCCCGGCCCCATGGAAGCCAGCAACAGGGTCGCCCAAGAAGACAACCTTTCCAACAACATAGCGGTCACTGGGACGGTGGCAGAACGCAAGTAGGAAGGGAGACGTTTGACGGAGGTTGAGGGGTTGGAGATGATAACTCTCCAGTGGCAGCGACAGAAAAATGGTTTGCCCCCGAGGGAGGCCCATTCTTCAACAACCTTAGGAGCTCGGACGCTACGAGGGGCTCCTGGCCTTACTACTAGGAACAAGAAGCTACTAGGGGCTCCTGGCATCGCTACTAAAAGCTTTCATTGGCCGCCGCGGACCAAAGGCAATCCTTGAGCTGGACACGTGCCTTGAAAGGTCCATTCAGGAACGCCAGGATCATGACTGTGCCGGACCTAAGCAGCGACTCAACGTGGAGATATCTGACAAAGGCCCCATGTGGCAAGCTAAGACTGGTGCAGCTTTGTAAGACTCTAGTCTGCAGCTTTGTTTGCACAAAATCTCACAAGGCTGTTGAGCCCACCAGGCTTCACCGCTTCACCGCTTCTGCTGTTACAGCGATGCTTGGCACTACAAACTTCTGCTGTTGCATCATGCTGCATCGCATTTATCTGTGGAGAAAGCGTGTGTCAACATGCCTGGTATTGGGAAGCTAGCGGACACGGGGCATCGTTGTTGCAGTGTTGAAAAGCTGGGAATTGCAATCGAACATATTGAACAGCAAAACTCCCTCGTTGTTGTTGGCATCAGTGGTGGCGCCATCGCTGACCTTGGACATGGGCCGATGCACATCCAATAGAACAGTGAAGCTTGTTTGCCTTTACTCACCAAACAACAGCAGCAACGTCGAACATTGGCATGCAAACAAATATGTAGACACTGGTACAGTAACCCAAATCTCTTCGGATGTGCTGGGTATATCACCTCACTAGTAGCTTCTTGTTACTAGTAGTAAGGATGCTCCTAGTAGTACGGCCAGGAGCCCCTAGTAGCGTCCTTGCTCCTAGTAGCGATTCCAGGAGCCCCTACTGGCTTCTTGCTCCTAGTAGCTCACCTTATTGTTGATGTGGGAACTTTGTGGACATGTTTGAGCTTGCTCCTAGTGCATGTTTGTACTTTTCAGGCAGTGTAAAACTCGGCACGCACAGAGGTTGCCTACATCCTTTCAAAACCAAAGAATCCTAGAACCAACGGAAACCTAGTTGAACATGTGGTCATCAACGGAGTTACCATGTCGTCTGTCAGGTTGTGCCCCACACGATCAAGTCGATTGAGTCTTTCTCCTTTGCACAAACTGTCGAAAATCGAGCTACTTCGCCCGACGCCTTTGATGTGCCACAATTCTATCTCCACTCTTTTAAACACTCCTTTTTTAAGGGGGGTAGGCCGCTAGTAGAGGTGAGAGCTAGGTAGTAGCTAGCTAGAGGTAGAGGTAGCTAGGAGAAGAGGGAGATTGCGCCTACTTAATATTAAGTAAGACACTCTAGTAAGCTATTATGGTACAGGACACTCCTACATATGGATGCCGAATAGCTCACGCTCGCACAAATGATTGGGTTCCTAGATTTTGAGGGAAACTTAACATATCTCCTTCAGCAAAAGCTGGGCTCAAGTTGCAAGGTCAGCAGCAGGTAGGTGTGCTGCTGCCACCCAGCTAAGGCAGAGTAAGAACATTGAGATTCAGGAAGGTCGTTCGACTTGCCAGGCTTGGACGCGCATTGGAGCACTGACCAACTAGTAACTAGCATACAATGCTCATTATACATGCAATCAAATTCCTGCATCCAACCTACTAGCGATGGCCTCTAACCCAATAGGAATGGCCTGCAACCTAATAGGAATGGCCTCCAACCTAATAACAAACACTGCTACATATGCTATCAAATCATGCGTCTCTACATGTCTTTACCTGGCATAAGCTGTAATTAGCCAGTCCACGTGTCCAACCCCAGTATCTGAAGGGCCGATCTGTCTGGGAGCTGGGACAACAATCTCGCGGCACTCATTGTGCGTTGACCCAAGTTCATGTCTTCTGAAACACTCTTCTTGTAAAAACGGTGCTAAATGCTTAAAACAAGACTAAACAAGTTGGATGCTGTTACTGTAAGTGTTTTTCTTTCTTTTCGTATACTTCTTATTGACCTTCGCAGCTTTGCTCTGGTCCGTCCCAGTTCCAAGCTCGTGCTCGCTGCATTTGGCAAAACATGCCAAGTGCGCCGCAGTGGTCGCTCAGTCGCGACGGAAAAGTCGGGAGGCCTCTCAAGTTGGACTCTTCTAGGAGCAAGGATTGGATGCTATTAGGGGCTCCTGGCCTTACTACTAGGAGCAAGGACGCT